GCAATGTTTATAGGGACCTGCCTGTTTATGAAAAATTGGTTGCTTTCACTGCCTTCTCCAAGGCCAGGTCCAGTTGCCACTGTGCCATTCGTAGGAGGGGAGGGTTGCACTAATCTCTCAGGCTGGATTACAGTTGTATCCACCAGCAGTTCAGTCCAACCTCATTTGAGATGACTGTTAGATTTCAGCAGCAGTCTCAGATACTATTAACTGTCTTATACCACCCTCCAGATATACCACCTTCCTTGATAAATTCTCAGCTTGGCTCATTATTTTAGATGTCTCAGGTTGCTGCTGGCTGGAGATTTCAATACTCATTCTTATACTTCTGGGTTTTGTTTTTTCCAAAGAGTTTTCAAAACTTCTACAATTTCATAACTTGACAATTCTGGATACACTGCAAAGGACTTTTCACTTGATTATATCAAAAGATTTGGATCCAATATTTCATTTTTGATATGCCTGATCATTATTCTGTTCAGTGGTACTTTCCTGTCTTTCAATCAATCCCTCTTGAGTTATTCAAACTAGAGACTTGTAGATCTGTCCAAAGCTAGTTTTTGCTCCCAGGTGGTAGATTTTCAGTGCATACACAGATGTCTGCCAATACAGGTAGTCCTCAACTTATGACAATTGGGACTGGAACTCCCATCACAAAGCGATGTAGTCGTTAAGTGAGTTGCGCCTGACATTATGAACTTTTTTGCCATGGTCATTAAGCGAATTACATGGTCGTTAAGCAAATCCAGCTTCCCCTATTGACTTTGCTTGTCAGAAGCCCCCTGGGAAGGTCGCAAATGGCGATCATGTGACACCAGGATGCTGCAACTGTTAATTTTGATCATATGACCATGGGGATGCTGCAATGGTTGTAAGTGCGAGGACTGGTTGTAAGTCACTTTTTTTAGTGCCATCATAACTTTAAATGGTCATTAAAGGAAAGGTCGTAAGTCGAGGACTACCTGTAAGTTTGCTAAACTATATGTGAAGACCACAAGACATGCCTTGGATACAATAACCCCATAAAAACCCATTTGACCAGGCCCTCCTTGAATGTAGCTTGCTGCCACTTTTCATTCACCATGTTTGCTGGCTTGGTGCCTGGAGAGGCACTGATGAAGTCCCACAATCTCTTATTCTGAGTACCACTGAATTCAGCTAAACAGAATTATTACTGTAATTTAGGCACAGGGTCCCCATCAGATTTTTAGCACTTTTCAATCACTCCTGACACTAGTGGGTGACCAAGCCTCTTCCTCTGAGAAGGCTTCTTCTACTGAGGCCCTAGCTAATCACTTTATGTGGAAGATTCAGGGTATTTTATATGGCTTTCCCTCATATTGTTCATCCTCCTCTCAATGGATGCCAACTCTTTAGACTTCGCCATTGAGTTTACTTTCGTCTCAGTTGCTTCTGAGGAAGCAGCACGGGTTGCTACATCTTCACCCTTTCCGACCTGCCACTGGATCCCATTCCCTCCTTCTTGCGTGTCGTGGTTGCTTTTTTCACCAGCCTCATGAACTGTTCATTATCCACTGGCTGTTTTCCTGATTCCTTTAAACACGCTGATTTACACCTCAGCTGAAAGCACCTTCTCTGAAGCCGGACTCGTGTTCTCATTGCCACCCTGCCTTGCCTCTCGGGGAAGACCTCCCCTGCTGGCTACGACCTTTCAGGCAGGACATCCAGCTGGTCGCGTCGGGCCCGCTTGACCTCCAGCTGCTTTTGTTCTGCTCGCAGCCTCTGGGCATCGCTGGCACAGCCTTCTCGCCTCGGCCTGTCCCCTTTAAGCACTCGCTTTCACGGAGCCCCCGAGGGCCAGTCCTGGGCCCGGCGCTCCTTGCACCCTGCCTTGGGTGACGCGACCCCTGCCCTCGACTCCGGGTCCCGTCTATGCCGTCGGCATCACAGGATTCCGCAGGGCAGAGGCCTCATCGGGGCTGGCCTCTTTCGGAGGCTCCTGT